CCCCCCCCGCCGCTACACCCGATTAAGTGCTCAATCGGTGGATTCTTCGCCTTTTTCGCAAACTTCACTCACCTGACGGGCACACGGACAGACGCACACACACACACACACACACACATTACCGACTTGCTGCCTGTCTGCCTGCCTACCTGGATCGCTAGTGACTCGCTCAACCCGACCCACGTTGCAGAGCAGCAAAGAGAGAGAGAGAGGGAGGAAGGCCTCTCGCCACCAACCGTTCGTCGGCCTTCATGAAGGTGCGTGTTTCCATCGCACACACACGATTGCACACACACGGCCACTCGCCCGCCCGCTTGCTTGCAAAGACGCTGTCAGCAGCCAGCCAATACCGATCGCACTGACTGACACCAAGGCATGCACTGCACGTCCAGGTATTCTCGTCTATATGACCTGTCGGTCGGTCTGCCTACCTAGCTGCCTGCCTGTGTGTACAGCTGCCTGTCTGCGCCTGCCATGTCATGTCATGCCACGTCGACGCGCACATGGACTCATGATGTCGTTTGTGTTTTTCTCCCTTTCTCCCTTTCTGCCTCCCTGTTTTGTTTGTTTGTTTGGACGGATGGATGGATGGCATGTAAGATGCGTCCGTGTGTGTGTGTGTGGATGGTATATACTCTATCTGCTGGTGCGCCACAGCCCGCTCGCGCCCGCGACGGCTGTGAGGGCATCCATCCATCCACACACCTCGTGTCGTGATGTGTGCGTGAGTGATTGGTTGCTGATGCCGGGCCGGGGATTGCTCACGACAATGGCAACATACGGATACGGACGATGGATGCATTTGCTGCTGCTTGCTGCTGCTGTGTTTGAAACGCCACCCTCTCATTGCCTTTCGTATGATCGACGTGATGTGATGTGCAGCCTGTCGGTTTCTCTCCTCCCTCCTCTCTCTCTCGGCCGGGATGGCAGCCCGTCTGTCCGCCTGCCTGGTTGTCTGTCTGTTGACCTGCCTGCCTGCCTGTATCTGTGTGCGTGTGCGTGCAATGGTGTGAGGACATTTGTACGCGTGTGTGCGTGTGTGTGTCTGGAGTGCCGTGCGTGTGCCGTGTCGTTTTGTCATGCCTCCATGCCTGTCTGCCTATGTAACGACTGACTCCCCGTGTCTATCAATTTTCCATATCTATCGCCGGTCATCTTACGGTCATACTCCTTCAATTGGGGCCATCCAGCGAGCCGGCAACTTGGGCCCCTGCTAAAGAAGCAGGAGGAAAATGAGCGTTCAGCCCGTCCAATACACCGTGGGGTACAACGTGCCACTTGGCGGCGGGGGAAGGCCCGAGTACTACAGCACTGTTCGTCGGGGGAGCGAGGTGCAGGTGCAGGAGGCCAACGTTTGTCAGACCTGCTGCAACCTCTTCAGCGCCCTGGTGTGGGTGGTCGTCTGCTCCATCATACTCGGCATCACGCGGGAGGCGGCATGTAAGCCACAAGGGACGATTTCGAGGACGGCGAGCAACCGGCCAGGGCGAGGCCAGGGAGGGAGGGGGGAGATCTGGTGGATGGCTGGGTTGGGTGTGTGTGGCTGCAGGCGATACGAACCTGGACATCTTCATCTGGGGGTTCCTGGCCCTGAACATCGTGTTTTCCATCGTCACGGGCGCCACCTTCTGCGTTGGGACCGATGACGTGAAATGCAAAGCAGGTGAGGGGAACAAAGGACCAAGGAAATCGCCTCGAGGAAATCGCCGTTTCTTTCTCCGTTTTGCAGCCCTGACCACCATCAGTGGCATCGCTGGGCTGTAAGCGGCATGGCATATGAGGGCATCTCATCTCTCCTGGTTGTGAAATCTGCATTGTGTGGAATTCAGGTTCTCGTTGGTGTGGCTCTGCCTCGGCACAGCCTGGTACTCACAGACGGGGGAGTGCCACGGTGAGTAAGTCAACACGCCATGCACCCAACAACACCAACCTACTCACGGCCATCTGCACGTTCTTGTCCGTTCAGAGCACCTGGTGAACCTGTCATTGGCGGTGCTCATCTTGGGGTGGATCGGGATAGTCATCTCCTTCTGCTTGGTCTTCTGCATGCTGATCGCAATGAGCCTCAAGAAGCGGCAGGAGCAGGAGCAGCAGGAGGAGCACCGACGTCTCTCCAACCCCTACGCAGTGGCGTCTCAGGTGTAGACAGACAAGAGGGGAGAGGGGGAGAGGGCGAGAGGGGGAGAGAGGATACGAGTAGGTGGATAGGTACAGGGGGAATGGGGTGGGTGGGTGGGCTTTAAGCTCGTGAGGGGACAGGATGTATTTAATGGGATTTGAATGCCGCCCTCTCGTTTGCGTTTCATATGATATGGTCTGCCGCCTGTCTGTCTTCAATTTCTCCCTCCTCTCTCTCTCTCGGCCCGGATGGCAGCCCGTCTGTCCATGTTTATTTGTTTGTCTGCCTGTCTGCCTGCCTGCCTGCCTGCCTGCCTGCATGTGCAAGAGTGTGAGGGAACCACGTGTGTGTGGCGTGTGTGTGGACGTGGATGCACGCATGCCGCTTGGCTGTCATCCACCATCCATCCATCCATCCATCCACCCCCAACACAGATGGATGGATGGATGGATGGGTGGACGGCGGTGTGCCGTGAGTGTGCCGTCCGGCCTGCCTGTATGCCTGTATGTATGTATGTGTGTATGGATCGGTGCATTCGTTAACCCATTTGTGTGCTATATATGTAGCAAGTCCCCGTCCGTCATCTTCCTTTGCGTGCTGTTTTGCAATGGGATTGATCGGCCGAACGCAAGAACGAGACACTTCGCCATTTTGCAGTGACGCGGCGCCAGTGTGTGCGCTTGTCAGTCAAGCAATGAGTCAATCAATGATGGATCTTTCTCTTCACTGAATCACTGCATCACTGCAGACAAGCTTGCTGGGTTGCTTCGCGCATGAGAGACGGCCGTGATCCAGCCGACATTTGAGTGCAAAGGTATATGTCTGCATATGTAGATCGAGACCTTGAAGCGCGTTACACACATTGTGACACGTCCGCAAGGTCACATTTGATTGATTCAGAGGCCGTGCAGTCGATCCGATGTCCCACGCCGCCTATTTGATCCTCGCCTTGATGTATGCTTCCAGTTCCGCTTGCCGCTTGTCCATCTGTTGCACAACTGGTACGTTCGAACAAGAGAGAGAAGTCGAGATGGATTGACCGGAATATTGCTCAGTTCTTGCTCAAGCATCACCTGCAAGCATTTCGGATTGAGAAGAGTGAATCTCATCTTCGACGTACGCTTGGAAGTGCTCGAGTGCTGCAGTAAATCGAAAAAGAGCAGCCGAGATGGATCGAGAGCAGAGTCCTTATGAGCAGAGTCGTTATGGGCACCTGGTTGGATCTCGGCTTTGAGGACTGCAATACAGGCACAGACACAGACGCCCTCCTCGTGAGACACCTTGCTACCTGCCTGCCTGTGGGTCCTGTCTCACCTGTCATGACGTCAGGGACGCTCTTGTCGTGATGATCCGCCTTCTCAATCCACTTGTCGATGCCGTCCTTGAATGATTCTCGTGCCATCTCCAGACTGTCACTTTCGGTGGCGTCAAAAGTGAACAACGACTCCTACCCGACCACGCCAGAGAAACGAGACAGAGCCGCTGTTTGTCTCATGTGACTTGTCTTTTGACCCTCACTCGCTGGGCGTATGTGCAGAGAAGGATAAGGGGCATCAGGAGGATGGAAAAGGGTAGGCCGACAAATGTAAAGATACCCACAAATAGAGTTGTCTCCTGCAGCAATTTGACGACCCCCTCCAGCGTTTTGTAGATGGCCACAGGTGTGAAGGCGACGGCGAAAAGGAGTCCGTCGACGGTGGAGTAGAGGGCCTTCATCCACCAGAAGGCAATGCAGCAGAGCGTCGACTGCTCTCTCCGTTCTTCGCTGATGAGGGATGCGAGGTATCGCAGGGGCTCCGACACGACCACAGCTGCACAGACACAGACGCTCACATGTGATGGATGCAGTCCATGTCTCTTGTCGCACTGACCGATGAGATTGAATGGCGGCGGCAGGCGCTCGTGATGGGGCATTGTCAGGTACTCATTCAAGACGCGGATGCGCAGCAGCCTGCACTCATTGACAGAGGGAGAGAGAGAGGCCTTATGTGCCTCTGACATCTCTTTGACTCACTGGTACTGAGCGGCTTGTTTTTCCTTGATGGCCTCAAATGTGGACGCCTGACACACAGCACACACACGCATGTATGAACATTGATCACATGCATGTGGCCCCTAAAGGACACACTCTCGTGTCTGTCTTACCATGATGGCGATGAGCAGGTTGAGCTATCGATGCACGCCGGCAGAGAGAGGGAGAGAGAGAGAGACAAGAAATGGCATGATACTCTCGTTGCTGAGCGGCCCTAGATGAGTGGTGCGACGTACGAGTATGATGGAGGAGAGGATGACGTATGTGAACAGCAGGACGGCCCCCAGCGTGTTGTGGCTCTCTATGGCGTTGTTCAACGCGTCATTGAAGTCACCCTGTTTGGCGTAGAAACTGCACAACACAGAAGACGGAAAGAGGCAGGTGTCTCTCTCCCCTGTGTGTCTTCTCATGAGGTCCCATCCGCACAGTGTGAGCATGGCCTGGCCGAAGGAGCCGAAGTACTGGTGGTCTTCGTCGGACGAGAGGAGGGTGAAGACGCCCGCGAAGACCAGCAGGATGTAGACGTACACACACAGAAACATGCTGATGTCCGAAAACATCCTCATCACCGCACTGACACAAATACCCGTCACACAGCATCAGACATCCCTCTCTGTGTGTGTCTCTTTGGCTCTCGGCTCACTGACAGTATGAGTGGCCCGACAGTTGGTTGCAGGCTGGCGGTTTGGAGGAGACGCAGCGCAAAGAGCAGCGCTATGAGGATCCCTGAGCCGACCTCCGCGTCCGACGACCAGCCAGAGAAGTGGATAACGAGGAAGGCAACGAGGGCTAGGGAACAAGCGAAGTCGATGGCATTCCTAAATTTGTGCACGAAGGGGCATAGGGATGAGTCTGGCAGGAGGGAGAATGACGCGTACCATGAGTCCTCCCAGTACGCTGCTTTCAGACGGATGCCCTGCACACACACAGAAATCACACAGAGGATGATACATGTCATCGTTTCTCAGTCATGTCTCCCCCATCTGTCTTACTTCGAAGAGTTCCTGAACAAGAAACCCTATGCCCGTCAGCAGTGCTCCCCCCAGCCACACCGACTGGCCCATTACGGCCACCTCAATCACGCTGTCTCCCTTGATCGACTCGATGTGCAGCAGCACATACGCCACCCTGCAACACACAGACATGCCGTGTGTCTCTCTGCCTTAATCGTGGTGCATGCCTGCCGTCTTACATCAGCAGCATTGACAGCACGCGAGTCATGAAGACATCACGGGGCCCGAACTGAAAAGAGTTTGGATTCCAATGCTTTGTGACGAGAGAGATGCAGTTGGCTGTCTCAATCAGGCAGCAGAAAAAGGAGACATCAACGGACAGACCGAGAGGGGGCAATGCTCTTGTGTGAGTTACCCTGTGTGACGACTTGCAGGGGTTCCAAGGATTCGAGCAGAGCAAACCACTCTCTCTCTCTGCCCGAAAGTGACTGTTCGAAGCCTTGTTCTGCTGTACCGCCACAGAAGTTGGCTGTGAGGGCCTGCATGAAGCGATTGGACAATCAAATGCAGAAGATGAGGAAGCTGTTTCTTTCATTAATACCTCCTGCCAGTTTGAAATATTGGCAAATTCATCGGTGAGGGAGTCTTTGGGTCGCAACTCCATCAGCTTGCGAAAGAAGGCACAGAACCGAAGGCTGTCGAGGCCCGGCGACTCAGAGCGATCCTTCAGGAAGGCCTTCGTCAAGGGCACCACCTCTTGAAGACCCTCAGGCTTCACCACCTGATCGAGCTTTTCGTCGCTTCCTCCCAGCAGCTCCATAATCACGTCCCAAGCCACGGCAACGATCGCTACGACGACTGACGGTCTGTTCTTGGCAAGGGCAAGAGAAACATCCAGAGGCGTCTTCCCGTTCTGTCAGAGTCACGAGCATTGACCACCTCGACGGGCAGCTTGACAGGTGCGGTGCAGCCTACGCTGTCTTTGATCTTCACGGGCTGTGGGTTCACCCTCAACATCACCTTCAGCACATCGACACGGCCACCCACTACACGAGATGGCAGAGAAACTTTGAGGACTTATTCAATCGCCTTGCTGTCATCTGTAGGAGTGACTGACATGCTGCCGAATGAAGAGGCGTCTCGCCATTGTACACACAGAGCATGAAGAGGGCATCTGAAACGCCATGCCCAGTGTCCTCTTAAGAAGAGGTCCTCATCTTCACCGAGTCCTGAGCTTCGAGCAGTTCCTTTCCGCCCCACTCCACAAACTTCTCCACAACACCAACCGACCCATTCCTTGCTGCAAAATGGAGAGGCGTGACGCCATACTGCAGACACACAGTGAAGCTGGTAGTGAAGACATCGGTCGGCCAATGGAATGAGTGTAGTTGTCGAGCACGCTACACTATCTTTCAGTTTGAGCAGGTGGTGTCGGTCCTGGAACAGCACCTCAAAGACTTCCACACGCGAACACACCCCTGAGAAGCACACACAAAAGCCACATGGTTGCATCATGTGTAGACAGTCGTCAGACGGTGCGTACCTGCGGCAAGATGGATCGCAGAGGCAAATCCGAATATAGCCGCAGAAAGCAACTGCGCCTCTGACCCGTATCCAGTCAACGATCTCTCCGCTTGTTCAGGCGACAGACCGGCGAGGACCTTCCGCAGGCCCTCCTCATCTGATGCTAGTATGGCACTCTGGATGCTGTTCATCAGGTCATCTGTCTGTTTCCATTCGTCGGCGGCTGGGGCACCCACCAACGGAACCTGCAGACGACACACAGACGTCCAAGAGACTCATCAGAGTCGAGTGACACCGGCCCACCTGCTCGAAGCGTCTCGGTGCCTTCGTGATGTCATCGGTGACATCCGGCAGCTGGGGCTCAGTCACAAGGCCTTGGCCATCGTCCAGCAGCAGAGGAATGTGCTCACTCGAGGCCGAGGCTATCTGCAGTGGACAGACGGACACAGACACCACTCGTCAGAGATGCCATATGAGCATTGCAAGGCGACCTTGGGATGGTCTGTCTGTGTGTGGTGGACGGCCTGCTGAGCGTCGCCCTCGTCGACTCTCCGCAGCTGGATGTAGCACTCCCCATCAACACCACTGAGGCGGCTGTGGCCGTCTCCCTCACTGTCGCCCTCCTGGTCCTGCAGACGGGGGCTGCGCTGCGTGTGCAACAAGCCCCACATCTTCGTCGGACACGCTGCAGCAGCGCGAGACGCCCAGTGCCGCCCCCAGTCTCGAATGGGGCCATCTGCGAGCTGGCAAGACCCCTGTCTGAAGAAAGGGAGAGGAAAATGTACGTCCAGTATGAGTTGCCCTCCTCCCTCCCCCCGAACAGCACTGTTCGTCGGGGGAGTCACGTGCAGGTGCAGCAGGAGAACCTGCACCTGCACCCCCTGGTGTGGGTGCAGGTGGCTTGTCAGCAGTGCTGCAACCTCTGCGTCCCCCTGGTGTGGGTGGCCGTGTGCTCCATCATACTCGCCATCACGCGCGAGGCGCCATGTAAGCCGTAGGGCGGCGAGGCGCCATGTAAGCCGTAGGGCGGCGAGTATCCGGCCAGGGATGGCCAGGGAGATCTGGTGGTGTGCTGGTGTGTGTGGCTGCAGGCGATACGAACCTGGACACCTTCATCTGGGGGTTCTGGGCCCTAAACATCGTGGTTTGTTTCGTCGTGGGCGCCTCGTTCTACGTTCCACCCCATGACGTCATCTGCAGAGCAGGTGAGGGGAATGAATCACCAAGGAAATCGCCGTTTTCTTTTTCCCATTCTGCAGCCCTGGTCACCATCAATGGCATCGCTGGGCTATAAGCGGCACGGCATGATGGCATCTCATCTCTCCTGGTTGTGAAATCTGCATTGTGTGGAATTCAGGTTCTCGTTGGTGTGGATCTGCCTCGGCACAGCCTGGTACTTTCAGACCGGGGAGTGCCCCGGTGAGTGGGGGAGCACGCCACTCGTCATGATGACTGCACCACCCTACTCACGGCGGTCTGCACATTCTTGTCCGTTCAGAGCACCTGGTGAACCTCTCATTGGTGGTGCTCATTCTGGCGTGGATCGGGATAGTCAGCTCCTTCTGCTTGGTCTTCTGCATCCTGATCGCCATGAGCCTCCAGAAGCGGCAGGAGCAGGAGCAGGAGCAGCAGGAGCAGCATCGACGTCTCTCGCAGGAGCAGCATCGACGTTCCTCCAACCCTTACGCAGTGGCTTCACAGGTGTAGACAGATAAGAGGGGAGAGGGGAGAGAGGATACGAGTAGGTGGATAGGTACGGGAGGGTGGCGCCCTCTCGTTTGCCTTTCATATGAAATGGCGTGCCGCATGTCTGTCTTTCTCCCTCTCTCTCCCTCCCTCTCTCTCTCTCTCTCTCTCTCGGCGCGGATGGCAGCCCGTCTCCGCCTTTCTCGTTGTCTGCCTGCCTGCACGTGCAATGGTGTGAGAGAACATTTGCAGAAGTGTGTGCGCGTGTGCGGGCGTGGATGCACACCGATGCCGCCTTGCTGTCATCCACCATCCATCCACCCCCACCACAGATGAATGGTATGGGTAGATAGGGTGGGTGGGCTTTATGCTGATACGTAGTGCGCAAGGGGACATACGAGACATTACTGGCTGTCCGCATGCAGATCAATCCATCCTATCAAAGCAGGAACATGGCATGGCACACCTCATGCTGCGCTGTCTGTGCTGTGTTGATGCATTGCCTCATCCGCCCTCACCGACACGACGACACGAACGTCACACTACGGACATTCGAATCCACATGTCGGCCAGGGGGAGGAGCAAGCACGGAACAAGGCAGCGCCAAGCTACAGGAAAAACCAGAACCTCTCTAGCTATTCACAAACCCCCAATCATCGCATAACAAGAACCGCCATCCCACCGCACGCACGCCCAGAACGCCCCAGCGTCAGAAACCGCCCAACACTTCCATGGTCCCTGGCGGCCTCGGAAGGGGTGGTCCAGGCGGCCCGGGAGGTCTGGGGGGTCCGGGGGGTCTCTTCTTCGGCTTGGGTCTCTGCTTCTTCTCATTCTTCGGCGGAGGCGGCATGAACGACGCGAACTGACGGCGAAATGCTCTTGGTGGCGGGGCGGGGACGGCGAGGTCGCTCATCTGCCCGACCTGGTAGAGGTCTCGCATGGTGGCTGAGAGGTCGGCGGCTCGCTTGCGCTTGGGTGGGTCGGTGCGCAGTATGTGGGAGAGGTGGGCAGGGGTGACGCTGCGGTCATTGAGGTGGATGGCCAGCCGCTCACACTTGGCCGTCTGGAAGCACACAGGAAGCGAGCGGCACGAGTCAAGCGGGCACGGCACCCACCATGGCAGACTGGTCTCTCCTCCTTACCAGCTGTTCCATGAACTGCACGGCTATCTGTCGCAGAGCCAAGACCGGTTCCGCAGGCACAGCCTCCTCCACGCACCCATAGCCTCGCAGCATCAAAGCGACTGACACACAGGTGGCAGGCAACAGCAACACAGACCAGAGGCAAGGCAAGCAAGATCTCGTCACCTCTCGCCTGTCATCCTCTCTTGTGCTGTGCTTACGGTCTTCATCGAGGTCATCTGTTTCTGTGCGGTCGACAACCCGGCCTGTCGGCTTCTTGCGCTTGACTGGCGGTGCTGCTGGTGGAGGGCTCACTGGCACACCCGGGCCTGACATCCTGACGGATCTTCGGCCTCGCGGATGCGGGGGTCAGGACTGAAGGATATCCCGGAGTCAGCAATTCGCTCGGACAGGCGAACTAACTTGCGGGCAGAGATATCAGTGTTGCAGAGGGTCTGCCGCAGCGTTTTGGCTTTGTCAACAACACACCTCCAAAAGGCGCAAATCCGTGAAACGCAAGTCCATTGTACACTGTACGGAAAGGAAGCCTGATGGCGCTGCATAAACCACCAAGGTGGGCAGCGCAGTTTGCGAGGAGAAGGAAGGCAGCGGCCAAAGAGCTACCGCCACCCCCACCTGGGCTCTCCTCTTCTTCCCTCCCTTCCCACGTCCTGTCCGTCTGATTATCTGTTCTTCTCCCTCCCCGGCCCCTCCTCATTCACCCACCTATCTATCTACTTCCACACACCCGCAAGGACGGCTGGCTGATTGAGAGGAGCGGGCGGGCAGAATGGCACCCTTTCGCCATTCTGTCATTCGGTCACCCGGCACTGCGGGGATGCTTGTGCTCTTGCTCCTATGCGTCTGTGAGGCTCTCCCAGGGAACGACAGGCGCTCTCGGCGGCAAAACAGGGACGGCACTGTGACGGCCTCGTCAACAAAGGACGACAATGGCAGTGGCAAGAGTGTCCATAAGCCTCGGTCGGCTAAGCAGTGGCTGAAGGCCAAGGGCGTCCCCAAGACGCTGCCGCCCGTGGCATGGTGCAGCGACATCAAGATGACTGCGGCCATCCCTGTCCACGGAGACCCCGTGCTGGAGGGTGAGAGGCGGGGGGGCTTTCGCAACAACACCGCCGACCCGGCCTGCCGGGCGACCTTTGTTGAGGACTTCTTTTCCGGCAAGGCTTCGGCGCTGATCGCTTCCGCAGATTTCTCAACCAAGCAGTGCGCCACCTCGAAGACCGAGACCGACCAATACGTCTACCACTCGAATGTGTTGCGGGTGTACGGCGCCATGAACAACGCCATTGTGACTTGTGCCTGCAAGAAGAGTACCGGCAAGTGCACGCCGACGGCCAAGTGGGAGCATAAGGCGCAGGCCATCCGGGCTTTTGAGGGGAAGCAGCCGCTGGGCAAGGACGTCAAGCCGGTGGCGCAGGGGCACGTGCTGTCGAGCAAGCTCATGGCTGGCGAGAACATGACCCTCGCTATCGCCCATGAGGACGAGTGAGTGAGCCGACGGATGGATGGATGGATGGACGAGCATTGTCTTCCCTTTGCTCCATTACTGTGCAGTTCTTATGTGTTCGAGTCAACGGTGGTTGGCGGCGCCGTTCATCCGTGGCCCATGCTGTGTGACGCAGGTGAGGATTGGGCCACGTGTGCATCCGATGGGTACAGCAGACACCATATACGGTGTGCTTGGTTCGTTGCTGTGGACATCAGTATGTCCCGAGGGCTATCAGAGCAGCAACCCCGCGTGTGTGCACCACCTGGTGCTCAACGGCTGCCCCACCAGCCAGGAGCTCATGAACTTCACCGTCCACACGCAGGAGCCCGGCCGGATCGTCTTTTCGATGAAGCCGATGGCCTTCGAAGAGCATGACAGCATGAGCATCCAGTGCATGATGGCGACCTTCCCCAACCGGACATCCATGGACGAGCAGTGTTCGTGGAGCCAGCAGTTCCTGCAGAGGAGGAGACGGCGGCTGCAGTCATGGGACAACAAATCGGCAGCCAAACAACAGCAGCAGCAGCAGTCTCAGCAGCCCTACAAGCCGCCACCAAAGGCGGCTGTGGCCGTGCCTACCGCTACTGCTGACAAGCGAGGTGCGGTGGGGAAACCGGCTGCTGTGGGTGAGATCGAGGGTCAAATCATCGGCAGGGTCGGCCCGCTTCCAACAGCCCTCGGTGTGACGGCGCAGAACCCGTGGAACCTGGACCAGCAGACGCTGATCACTGAGCTTTCCAATGAGATTGTTTACGACAACTGGGCCGTACAGGTGAGAGAGTGAGGGAAGGAGGCAATCGGCCCATCTCATTTGTGTCCATCTTGTGTCGTTCTTTTCGTCACTTAGTGGGGGCGAGATTTTGAGGCGGGTGGCGACACGGCGGTGCAGGTCGGCAACGACTTTGGCTTCGTGGGCGTTGGTATCGGTTTTGCTGACCGAGAGACATCGGTCAACACGGGGTGGGGCAAGCTCGGTGTGTCGGTGTCCACCGATGAGAGCGATCTGGAAGGTGGTGTCGGTGTCTCGTACGGGGCCTACAGTGTGCGAGTAAGTATGCCCACCAAACACACAGCACCAGCCACGAGAGAGAGACGCACTCACAGTCAATCATTTGCTGCCTGCTTCTCTGTGTGTGTATGATGGATAGGTCGATCAAGATTTGGACGACAGGCAGACGGCCGTCGAGGTCGTTGCCCGTGGCGTCGAGTCAGGTACCAATGTGGATATCCTCGATCGCGACTACGGTCAAAGAGTCAAAGTCAGAAACACCGAGGTCGCCGTCAGGTGGGTGAACCACACTCTTTATCCCCTCCCCCCCCCCACACACACACGTACAGAGAGAGGCAGAGAGAGAGGGAGAAAAAGGACCACATGCATCCCCTGCGTCCGTGCATCCCCCGGTGTGGCGGATTGTGAACAATCAATTGTGGCATGCATGTTTGCTGCAGGCACGATTTCGACGATGTGCAAGACCCGTCAGTGGATGATGACGAAGAGCTGGCGACTGAGGTGTTTGCCGGCTACAAGTCGGTGGCCGTGGCCGTCGGTACCGACGTCGACGACACAGAATACGCCGTCAGTACTGGTGTGCTCGGCTACCAGTTCTCAGTGCTCAGAGACTTCGACGAGAGAGAAACCGATTTCCAGGGTCACAACCACACACACACACACACACACAGATGCCGCCTTTGTCACGTCTGCCTGTCCGACTATGTGTGTCCTGTGATGTGTGTGATTAGGTAACTGGGCCGACGGCTATCAGCTCGTGCTCAACGGTGGGAGGAAAGCGCTCTCTCTATGAGTCTGTCTTTGTCTGTCTTGCATTGTGTGTGTTGTGCTTCGTTCAGGCGATTTCCCCGACTCGGTTTCGACAGAGGTGTTCATCCAAGTGGGTTTCGGTGTTCTGGGCGTGACGTACGTGCAAGTGGGCGCTGGTGTGGGAGGTGACGGTATCCCACAGGGGTCGGCCGAGGTCGAGACTGAGGACTTCGGTCTCGGGGTTGACTTTATAGACGATGCTGGTGCGTCACACACTCGTTTGGACAGACAGATTGGAACCTCCCTGTGCGACCGCGCTTGTTCCTGTGTGTCCTGCTTGATCAGGTGATCGGCTCTTCTTGTACTCCATCACTGTCGGCAAGTTCACCTACATCTGGTACAGAGCGAATAAAGCCGCACATGTGGATGCACGTGATCAATCATGGCTGTCTGTGTGACTCGTGTGACTGGTTGGCTTGCAGGGAGTCTGAGGTTGTGACGGAGGGCCTGCAGATCCCCCTCATCATCGGGGCGACGCCACCCTTTCCAGTTTGACCGACCGCAGTGACTCGAGTGGCCCTCCCGCAGGTCTCTCAGCCACAGACAGACGACAGATAGCATCTCTTTCATAGTGTCTGTACGCGGATGGATCGAGGGATGGAGGGAGGGAGGGATGGATGGGTAGAGGGTGGGAGCACCACGCAGACGGGGACAGAGACAGAGACAGACTGGCTGAGTGTCTTACTCGTAGGTACATGACGTGACGTGACATGTTGCTGTCTATGTTGCTCATGCTCGTTGATGTGTGTATATGCTATGCCATGCGCCCACTGCCCTCACCAACTAACTCGTCCATCTGTCTGCCTGCACCTGCACGCGTGAGATAGATGGTGTGCCTGTATGTCTGCTCAGACACGCTGCGTCGCCTGCCGGCCGGCCGGCAGGCGGCAAAAAGGTGGCGATGTCACTCGCATGACCCGCACGCTACTTCACCTCGCAATGGCTGCGTACATGGATGGATGGATGTAGGTGTGTATGCATGGGAGAGGGGAGGGATGGAAAGGGGGAGAGCGGCTGGCCGGCCGGCCGGCCTGCCTGGATGGATGGATGGATGGGGGGGGGGGGGGGGGGGG